CTAGGTTGGGGAAGTTTTCCTGGATAATATCCTGAAGAGTATTTTCCAGCTTGGATTCATTCTCTTCGTCGCATTCCAGGTACGCCTATCAAATGTAGATTAGGTCTTTTCACATAGTCCCACATTTCTTGGAGACTTTGTTTATTCCTTTGTACGCTTTTTTCTCCAGTCTTGCCTTCCCATTTTATTTCATTGAGTTGATCTTCGACCTCTGATATCCTTTCTTCTGCTTGGTCAATTTGGCTGTTGATACTTGTGCATGCTTCATGAAGTTCTCGTGTTGCGTTTTTCAGCTCCATCAATTCACTTATATTCCTTTCTATTTTGTCCATTCTTGATAGCATTTCGTCCAATCTTTTTTCAACGTTCTTAGTTTCTTTGCATTTGGTTAGAACATGTTCTTTAAGTTCACAGAAGTTTCTTACTACCCACCTTCTGAAGTCTGATTCTGTCATTTCATCACACTTGTTCTCCCTCCAACCTTGTTCCCTTGCTGGTGAGGAGTTGTGATCCCTTTTAAGAGGAGAGGTGTTCTGGTTTCGGGTGTTTTCATCCTTTTTGCACTGGTTTCTTCCCATCTTTAAGGATTTATCCACCTGTTGACTTTGTAGTTGCTGGCTTTCAGATTGGGTCTCAAATCTTTCAGATTGACGTTCTGTTTGTTGATGATGAGGTTATTTCTGTTTCTTGGTTTTCCTTCTGACAGTCTGGCCCCTCTGCTGTAGGTCTGATGAGGTTCACTCCAGGCCCTGTTTGCCTGGGGTTCACCTGCAGCAGCTGCTGAACAGTAAGGGTTGTTACCAGTTTTCTTCTTCTGCTAACTTTGTCCCAGAAGGCTACCCGCCTAGCGTCAATCTGATCTCTCCTTTATGAGGTGTCTCTTTTGATATATAGGGGTCAGGGAGCTGCTTGAGGAGACGGTCTCTTCTTTATAGGAGCTCAAATGGTGAGCTGTGAGGTCTGTTGTTGTTCATTCAGAGCTGCTGGGCAGGTACGTTTAGGTCTGCTGCAGCAGAACTCATAAACTGCTTTTTGTTCCCAGGTGCTCTGTCCCAGGGATTTAGGGCTTTATGAGTTTCCGTTATGCTGCCGCCTTCTTTTTTTTTTCCCTTCAGACCTGCCCTGCCCAGCAAGGAGGCAGCCTAGTCACTGTCGGCCTATAGAGGCTTTGCTGAACTGCTGTGGGCTCTGCCCCGCTGCCGAGTGAACTTCCCTGCAGTCCTGTTTATATGGGTGTAGTTAGAACTGCTTTGGCGATGGTGGCCCACCTCTGTTGAGGCAGAGTCTCTCTGCTGTGGCGGGTTGCCTTGGCAACAGCAGGCTGCCTCAGCAATGGCAGGTTGCCTTGGCAACGGCAGGTTGCCTCAGCATTGGCTGACTACCTCCATCCTGGCGGGCTGCCTCGGTAATGGCGGACGCCCCTCCCCCACAGAGCTGGACCGTCCCGGGTTCAGCTGCACTTGCTGTGAAAGTCTCAATCCAGAGTTTCTGGTTGCTGTTCTTTTGTGGGGGTGGGACCAGCCGAGCCTGATCGCTTTGCTCCCTGCCTCAGAGCCTTTTTTAAGTTGGTGTTCCAGTCGCCTGTTGAAGAAGTGCCGGGGTCTGTTTGTTTTCCTCTGCGGCCACTCACTGCAATGGCTTAAACAGCAGCACTGGGGTTTGTGGTGCTTTTTTTTTTTTTTTTTGCCCTGGAATCTACTGTCCTGGTTCTCTGCTCAGTCCCCTTTTCAAACAGACGAATGGGTGACTTCCCATGGCTCCAATCACCAGCCAAAAGGGCACCCAGACCGGTGCACTTTGTACGGAGAACCGCTGCTCTGGGGTGCTGACAAAGCAGCCGCGCGGGGCAAAGCAGTTGCGCGGGGCACAGCCGCGCTGGCCGAAACAGCAGCGCTGGCGACCGTGGAGCTCCTCCGCCTGGGAATTTCCTAGTCTGTGGGCAATAAAAACGCGGCGTCCACTCACCCTCTGCGCCTTCACTGGGAGCTGCAATCCTGAGCTGTTCCTAAACGGCCATCTTGGATCCTCCTCCGTTGAAGCAGCTCTTGACATAGTCTCTTTATTCACTACTTCATATATTCTTCACTAAGCTGCAAGGACATGATCCTTTCCCAGTTTTCTGATAACTTATGGGACCTTCTCAGTTATCTTCAGTGTTTTATACTTCTATTATTAATCTCTAAAGTGAGAGTGCCTGTTGTTGGTCCTAGGATCTAGTTTCTATCTACTCACTCCCTAGAAGATCTCAATATGGCATTGGATTTAAATAGCATCTGTATGTTGCTAGCTAAAATTTGTGTCTATGGCTTTAATTCTTTTCCTTAATGGTGGATTCTACATATGGCATTGTTCAGCTAACAGGCAGCTCAGTTTTACAGGGATATAAGAAATCTTGTTTTTCCACTTCTTCCAAACTAGTCTTACTTAGCATTTCCCATTTTGTTCAACACTATCACCATCTTTCTAGAGCTCAGGCCAAAATCTTGGGATCATCCTTAAATTATCTTTCTTACACGTCACATTCAATCAACCCACAAATCATTGGCTTTGCCACAAAAAACAAAACAAAACAAAGACTGAGGCACAAATATCTTCCCACTTCCTTTATCATAACCATTCTCAATCAATACCTCATTGTGAAGAATGATTATAGCCTTCTGTTTTCCCTGATTTTATTCTTGTCTTCCAAAAACACAACCCATGTGCAACCAGAGTGATCTTCTCATTAGGTAAGCCGTAAGCATTAGTTAATACTAATGCTTAAATGCTCTGGGGCTTCTGAACACATTTAGAATAAGCTCTAACGCCTTTCCTGTGACCAATATAATCTGGATCATGCTAGCTCTGTCACTGTACTTTGTACCTTTCTTTCCCTCACATACTTTCTTCTAATGTATGTATCAAGTATGCTCCACACAAGGGCCTTTGTCTTTGCTTCACCTTGCCTAGCTTGTTCCTTCCTTGTCCTCATTTAGCATGGCTTGTGGCTTCTCTCTTCATCTCTTCCTTTAGGTCTCTTGTCATATAACTTTCAGTGCACAATATCTTTACTAGTATTTCTTACCTATCTCCACTTTTTCTATTTTCTGACTCTAATTTATTTTTCTTTCCAGTGCTTCACACTCACCCTATTTCACATATTTACTTGCTAATTTGTTTATTAGTTCTTCTAATCCACTCCCCAGTCCCTATCTTCTCTGGATGTCAATAAAGTTTTATCATTTTTGTTCATATTTGCATCCTCGGTGCGTGGATCTGTAGCTGACACACACAGTGAACACGTATTGGATGAGTAAATGTCCACACTCCTGCTTAGTGTAGTTTAGCAAGAGCCTTATGATATAAGCATTACAAAATCATCAATAAAAAGAAGTTTACATTTTTATTCTCTAGTCAGCTTCACAAAATTTTCTCCAAAGAAAATCAAAGGCTGGTGAGAAATTAATGCTTTGATAAGTGGTAACATTCATTTAATCACTTTTTAATCAGCTAAAGTATAACTATCATCAAAGATGGAACAGTAGTTTTAAAACTATCCTTTTCTCATGAAAAGGTTTCAATTAAGAAGCTAAAAGATGTTGAGATGTAAACTAGAATAAAATTTTGAGGCGAATTTTTTTAAGTTAATGAATCTGTAATTTGGTAAATATAGAAGGCTTCTTCTGAGTAGACATTTTATATTACGATGAAGCTATACTTGTGGAATATGTATGATACAAAATTTTGTAAATTTTGCAGGCAGGGTTAAAATTTAACAACCATAAACTTAGTTTACAGGTTTATATTCATGTAAACAAAAGTTAAAAACATATGTTGGTTGCTTTTTTTTTCCCTACCATGTCATGCTGTTGGCAGACCGTGAACTTATGGTCAACTAGTAAGTTTTAAAAGTACAATTAGATGTTACCCTAGGTAACTGTACTTTTCATGTATATTTTTGAGATCTCTATGCATGTCTTTACATGTTTCCAGTTTTAGGTGACTGAGTGCTTTTCTTGGCCAGTAGGGCACACATTATCTGCTTCCCCCTAACTCTACAAACATCATCTGCCATACCCCTCCCACTCAGTATGTTCCAATAAACTGGCTTCTTTCTTTTCATTCCTCAAAAATTCTAGCTCTTTCCTGTCTTAAGGAATCAGCACCTAGACCCTCTCCCTGAAAGCCCTTCATTTGGCTATTTCTTTACATGCTTAGACACAATGTTACTTCTTTTGAGATGTACTCTATAAGTCTTTCCCTTCATATCCCTCACTTTAATCCCAAACTTACTTTTTCTTTCTGTTCTTTTAATTGGTAGTCCTTTTCCTTATTAAGACAAAGAGCAATTTGTAATTATGTGTTTATTTTTAAACTTATTTGTTTTATGTCAGTCTTGTCATTTTCTAAGCTGTGAGACAACAGGTACCTTATTGGTTTTACTTACCAGGAAATATTCTTCATCAAATATCATATTCTGTCTAACTAACTGTCTAATGAGTGAAAATAGAAATGAATTATTTATATATTTTTTTACGTCTACAAGAGTATCATGGGCTACTAGGCAAAAAAACCATGCTGTGGGTGAATTGAAAGCATTAGAATTCCATTACAAATTGAAGTTTATATTTATATCTGGTTGCTAAATGTTTTCTTTCCATGAAATCAACAGATGATTTACTCTGACTGGCTCATTAGCATGCAAGGCAACTCAAAATTAAAAGTTCTTTTACAATCGCACAGAAATTCTTCTACAATCGAGGCAATTGTCATTCAGTGTGTATCTTAAGATTCTTATTAAGAGAGAAACATATAGAGCCTAGCTTTCACAATGGAAGTATTAGAGGCAAAAACTATTAATGATGGCAATGAAAGATCACAATAATTATAAAAAATGCATTATCAGAAAATTAAAAATTAACAAAATATTAATTTGAGATCTAAATATTGAAAAATATGCAATATCATTATGTGTGTTTTAGTCTAATATACATGACAATGTTTCAAAGCATCATACTTACTTCACAATCAGCAAGACAGATGAGGTAACTTCAGTTGCAGAGAACAAAGCGTATAAGACTTGAATTACAACATAGACGTAAAATTTCCTTGTACAAGCATCATCTCTTGGGCATTCACCCAAGTGTGCTGAGTAATTTCTGTTCTGGAGACCAGTTACTTCCACACAACTACAGTTATAAAATACCTAAAAATAGTTTTTGAAATATTACCAAATACATTCGCCAAATACAACTGGGTTATGAATACATTCCATTGTATTTAAAGAAGTCTCAAACTAAAATATTTACAGCTTAAGAAATGTTATAAAAAATATAGTAGGGCACTGCCTAGTGGAGCTTAATAGTAAAAAGCAAAATAGCTTCTTGAATTACTTTCTGTATAAGAAAATGTAATTGCCTATTAACATTTAATTAATTCTTAATTTTAAAATTAGAAAATAATCTAAGAAATTGGTGTATGAAATTCTGTATATAATTTTCTCATTAATATACATTCTTTTAAATATTTCTCTTTCACCCACATTTACTTTTTAAAATATACATTCTTACTCTCTTTGGTGGGTTCTAAGTATTAGGGGCATACTCTGGGAAAAAATTACCCAGAGTCCAGAAAATACAGTAGTTTGAAAAGGGCCAAAATCTGGAACTAGAGCCACTCATGAAAGTGGGACAAAGTACAGGGGAAACAGAACCAGAAAGGGGTGCCAGAATTCTGTTTAAGCAGGCAAAAGCAACATTCAAGACTGTAATGACAGATAATAAACTAGATTATACTATTACCAGAGAGGTTTAACACAACAGAATATTCTGTCTAACGGTTAGAGTATAGAAGAGAAACATCAGGAACAAGTGATTTAATCAGGCAGGCAGTGTATGTAGTTAGGTGGCTTTAATAAATTCTGTTCTGACTCTAGGCTAAAATTTAACAGAAGTTTATCTTGAACCTACTACTGCTAAAGATTATTTACTGAAGGAGAACGTGTAAAAGAATTTAAATCCATACTTGTATGGTTCCAGCAAGCATCATTTTTTCCTTTTTTTTTCCAATATGGATATGGAGGAATATTTTATGGAGCAAACACATTGGCTAATGAAACCAAACTTTGATACAGAGAACATTATTCTAACAATTTTACTGAGGATTTAGTAGAGGAAGTTTGCAGTAGCCCCCAGGTGGTATAGCCATTGCCAGTATTAAGATGATGTCTCCATGTAGACATACCTCTCTTTAGGATACTAATATCATGTCTCTTCTAGATCTTCACTACTAAACAACATGGGAGGCACCCTTAATGAAAGACACCACAGCTGATGAATATGGGATGTGGGCTTTTAAATATAGTATTTGGCCACATATATGCAAGTTTATTAAAGTTGTAGCCCATCTTCAAAAAAACTAGGATGCTTTATTCTTCAAATTTCTCCATGCCATTTAAATGCATTGGTAGGACATTGGGCAAGGGAAAGATAGAAAATATTTAGAATTGAAGAATGGAAGAGTGTCAGGGAGAGTCATAATCACACCTGACTATATTCACAACGTTGGTAACAGGGAAATGGACTGAAAAATAGTTATGCAACTTTGTGAGATGTTGAATTGATTGTAGGTATGGGGAACAGGATACCTAATTTCCAACTATTCGGAGTTATCCAGGATATTGGAAAAACCCATGTTTCACTTGGAAAAAATAGCCTTTAAGAAAGAAATGCAATTTCCAATGGATACATTGGCAATCATGAACAGGATGCAGAATTATACTGAGTAAAAGAAGCACCAGCTTTGGGAACATCAAAATAGGAAATCAAGAAGATTTCTTATTCACTAAGGAATTCAAGTGAGCATGAAGCCTTGATTAATTTTTTGGAAAGTCCAAGGCCACAGTGAGTCCCCTGGCTAAACTTACCAGGATGTACATATTAAAACGTAAACAGATTGTTGTCCTTGTAAAGTATGTAGTCCTGACCACTGACTAACTCTGGACTTTCCCCTAACTTCTGGAGGGTAAAATAATTCCAAATTAATCAAAATCACATGCTTTAGTCAAATGAGATGCTTCTTAGAGACCCTAATGCATTCAAATTCTAACAGGTCATATTATTAAAATCTCAAGGAAAAAAGTGGGTAATGTTAATTAGAATTCAAATAACAGAGAAGCCTAATTGTGTCCTAAGCAGAGTTTTATATGAAGCTTTGTTTATACTTCACAGCCTTCATGAGGACAGATAATATTGGAATCTTTTTCTTTTATCTTTTTATTGGAGACCTTAGTTATAAGAAGATTTGATTAGTAATTATTAAATCAAATCTATGATTTTGATTAAGGAGAAGAGAAAAAGCAAAAACTAATACTCACTATGGGCTTTTTATTACCACTTGAGGATTTGCATCCTGCTAGACAAGGTGACAGGTAAGTTATTCCATTGTTCCCACAGACTGGTTCCCATTGACTTTCATCACAATCGCACTCTGAGTTGCAATAAGAAAGTGGGACATCTATATGAGATGCCACTGAATTATTTCTGAAAATATATGATAGAAATATATCAAAAAAAAAAAGAGAAAGAGAAGGAAAAGAGGAAGGAAGTGAAGAAAAAAAGAGAAGAGAAATAAGAGAAAGGGTTTAATTGGATAGAAAAATTTGATTTGCTAATGCCAAAATGGCAATTTTTATAATGCTTATTGACTTTTAACTCTCCTTCTTTACTAGGACATGACTTATGACCTAGAAAAATTAAAACATAAAAAAGAACTCAAAGAGGTTAGATAAGACTTAGACAAGAGGTCTTTATCATTCTATCAAATAAATTTTACATTAGATAAGTAACTTCATTTTTTTGAGATTCAGTTTCTCTTCGGTTAGGTAATAGCATTAGATTGAGGTTCCTCTCTGCTCACTTTAAAATCCTCTGAATCTATGCATGTTAATTAACATTGTTAATTTTTACAATCTATATTTTAACTACATGAAAAAAGAATTTGATGTGGTTAAAGCTGAACTTCTGAGGAATAAAAAATCAAAAACAGAATCAGTTAAAAACGAATAGAAAAATCTCTGTATATTTTTTGAACAAAGTTATAATATTTTTTATATTGATTTACTTTATAATATAGTTATAAATTATAAAATATAATTTTATATCATGGCTAAAATTATAAAATATATTATTTGTATAAATTTTAAGCTTAAAGATTTTGTTTTGTAAAAATTTGATAATTATTGAGGAGTTATGAAATGTCTTCAAATGAGTATATAAATTAAATTAAGAAAAATAAGAAGTAGATTGATAACAGCAAATACATTATAAATAATTTTATTTAATGATATCTGATACTTCTAATATCTCAAATTTTGAGTCAGAAATTAACATTGCTAGCTATATAATGTGTACATTTCTCTGAATCTTACCTTCCCTTTTATAAAATGGGAGTAAAAGTGTCCACCACTCATTTTAATTACCCACAAATTATACGTATTATTATTTCAACCTATGTGGCTTTTCCTTAAGAAAGGAATAAAACAGCTTTTTATCATCTTAGGAAATGAACATTTTAAGAATTTGAAAATTGAAATTTCTCTCAATTAAATTAAAGGTTAATTATAATTGTTTTCTACCCTATTTTACTTGCAAGTAAGTTTTTAATTGGATGGTTAACATATTACACAATTTATATAGTGATATATACAAACCCATCATAGGTCAAGGTTAGGCCGGCAACTGATTTGCTGTCACAGATTAGAGGGAAATATAAAACATGAAATAAGAAGGATATTATCGAAGTAAGAAATGAACATTTGGCAATTCCAACTAAAGGCAATTTGAATTTTTTAATGATATATCCTGCTAAGAACATTCCAACTGCAATCGTAGGAATAGTTATGATTCCTAGAAATAAAAGAAGAGAAAAATGTTGTAATTATATGAATATGGTTTTTCTAGATGTCTTTATATATAAAACAGTGCATATCAATCAACCAAATTCACCCATTCTTATCACTGTTTTAAGAGAAGGGTGGCACACTAGAGTGGAGGTAGGGGACAAGTGTACCATATGAGAGACACAAATAATTTCTTTTTGCCAGTTTTGAGGGTTTGGTTTCTTCACATGCAAAAGACGGTGGCTAAGAATATTTATATGTCCGCATGTTCTCACTCATAAGTACGTGTTGAACAACAAGAACACATGGACACAGGGAGGGGAGCATCACACACCAGAGCCTGAGGGGTGGAGGGCTAGCGGAGGAATAGCAGTGGGGAGATTCAGGGTGGATAGCATTAGGAGAAATCCCTAATGTAGATGACAGGGTGATGGATGGAGCAAACCACCACCATGGCATGTGTATATGTATGTAACAAACCTGCATGATCTGCACGTGTACCCCAGAACTTAAAGTATAAAAAATAAATTTTTTTAAAAAGAATACTTATGTGTCTAAAAAGATTATTTCTATGAGAAACTCCTTTTTCTGGAAATCAACAACTAACAAAATCTTTCTTCCTCTGAGATTTCTATCCTACCATATAATACCCTTTACGTCTCTCAAAACAGTCTCAACCCTCAAAAACTCACTCCAATTTTCTCCAAGGTTTTAGAATTAAGTTTTTGAATTAACATTTCTTTTTTATTCATAAAAATACATGTATACACTGATATGATAAAAATGTCTTCATACAGGATTAAAAATGATTGATCTCTTTTATGACTTTTCTTTTAATAGTCTTTTCTTTTAATAGTCCTGTCAGAATTATTAAAGGTAAAGTTTCCTGTAACAAAAAATTCAGGCCAGGTTAAAACTTAACCTGGGAGTCAAAACTTAACCTTTAAGTTTAAGCTTTTAAGTTCAACAGGTAGGTCATCCAGAGCCTATTCCAGTGCTTCAGTACATTCATCTTCTAATTACTACTTTCTTATGTACTTACGACCTAAACAAATACCATTTGATAAATTGTTTAACTCATCAAATATGTATCAAATTTCTATAATGTTTCTACAATACCGAATTTGGGGGAAATGTGATATAATGAGCAGGTCTCAATATGATTTTGAAAATAGGTACCGTAGCAAAAAATACTCTCTAAAATATATTTGTTTTTAATCATGCCTATTTTGTGATGTAGTTAAATTGATTCGCCTTCTGAAAACGTTAATATCATGTGTTTTGTAAGTAGCTGAGGCCTTATTTCAGTCCATGAATTATAGGATTATAATGGTTATTATTATAGAAGGGTTTGTCTCAGGATCTCAGTACTATATTATAAGATCCAATTATGCAGATACTACATCCAGATGTTTTATTCACAAGTAATATTTTTCTTTAGAACTCACCTAACGTGAGATGCAACTTCAAATGCAGAACAGTGATGATATCACAAGATTGAGAAATTTTGTAAAGTTTGAGAGATAAGATTATATTCACTAAAATATAAAATCACCTTCATATCAAGATGTGACTTGTAACACAAGTACTCAGTAGCATTTCATTTAACAAGCAAAGAGGTAAACAATCTGTCTTACCCAACACAAAGTTAGCCTGAGACGCAGACTGGCCATACTGCTGCTCCATATATTTAATGAGGTAAGCAAAAGCACCAATAACGCCACTTACGTGTAACAATGTCAAAAGCACAAATATAACATACAGGGGATTGGTAAGGATGCTTTTCAAAGACTGAAGAAAACCTACAGAGTTATAAAAATAAACAATATATTTCTATAGTAAACTATTTTCTTATCTGAGTTTTGTAAATATAAGTTATAAAGTTATAAAGGCTTAAAGTTATAAAAAATAACACAGAGAGAATACCCTGCTATCCTGCCATCAAGTTTTTAATATATTCCTTCAATATTTTCCATATGTATATTATTATTTAGTTGTTTAGTTCATTTTAACCCCAAATAGGATGATACCAAAATGGCGTTTTTTAACTTGCTTTGTTTACTTAATATTTGGTTATCCTTGGCACTTTACCATACTATTCAATATAGAATAACTCATCTATTCATTTATTCAACATATGTTTGGTTTTCAATTGGGTACCAGGCAATATGCTTAGTGTCCAAGAAAAAAAACAAAAAAGGAAATCAGAAATGTGATGTTAGCCAGGTGCAATGGCTCATGCCTGTAACCCCAGCACTTTGGGAGGCCGAGGTGTGTGGATCGCTTGAGCCCAGGGGTTAGAGGCCAGACTGGGCAATATGATGAAATCCCCTCTCAACAGAAAATAGAAAAATTAGCTGAGCATGGTGGGCCATGCATGTAGTACCAGCTAATTGAGGGACTGAGGTGAGAGGATCGCGTGAGACAGGAAGGTTGAGGCGACAGTAAGCCATGTTCATACCACTACACTCCATCCTGGGAGACAGACCCTGTCACACAAAAAACAAAAAGGAAGGAAGGAAAAGGAAGAAGGGAAAAGGAAGGAAGGAAAAAGAAGCAGCATACTCTCCATGCTTTCCCTTATTTATTAGCACTTAATAATGCTATATTAAAACTGTAACTGTTAAATATAAATTTAAATTAAAGATAGCATAATCTAAGACACAGAAATAAGAATACTGATGTTAAAAAAATTTAAAGATGAATTAGGATGAGGGCTCAGACCACTTTTTTCCCTGGTATATAGCTTGGGTATCATAAAATACTGCCTCAGTATATCTAGAAGTATTATAAATCCCCTGTGTTAAGATGCAAGAAGGTGAGGCAGGGAATATCAATGTTGGTCCCAAGTGACATTTTGAGAGTAAGAGTACAACAACCTATGCCCACAAATAGATGTGGTAACAAACTTCTAACTTACGTACATGGCAGAAATCATGTGATCTGGGTCTATGGTTGCCAAGTCAATCAGCCATAATAGGAAATAAAATGGAAGGAACTATTTAGAACAACAGGAAGTTTCAGAGTGCAGCAAGAAAGTCCCAAATATGGTTACTGAGAGATGGACAATATGGGCTTCAAAAGATCTTGCTCTCCATAGACCTTTAAAGATTTTCATTAGATATGAAGAGTACTATCCAATGGTAACTAGGAAATAGTTTGTTCTCTGATTATAATAGTTGGAAAAAACAGGGAAATGGCACAGGACAGAAAAGAGTTAAGAAACAATATTTAAAGTTGTTAGGACAAAGCGCTAAACTTCTCTTCATAGGTCTCCCCAGTGAGGAAGATCCACCGCTGATTTGTGAGGCATTCAAAGACAGTCATGACCTTTGCTCAAAATAAACGGAGCATGTGAATTAACCAAATTGTTAAATTTTTGAGGTAAATAAGAACTCAGATGTCATCTAAACTGAACTTCTATACAATCATGACTCACTATATATTTTTAATGGATCAATAAACAATTCAAGTGACATTACTCTGACTTCCTGAAAGCAATTTCCTCAACTTTTGAACAGTTCTCATTGTTTACATATTGTCTTTGTTATGAACTGGAATTTTCCTTGCTTTCTAACCAATTAGTTTTATTTCTACTCAAGAGTATATAGAATAAATCTAATATTTTTGTTCTTACTATAAGTATATAGTATTTTAACTATTCCTAATGGGCACCTAATTAAAATTCTTTTTACTATTCATGTCACTACACTTAAACCCCAAAAACTCATAATATAGACAATGTTTAGAGTTCCCCCTTTTTTGCACCTTATTATCTTCTTTATTCTTTTTGGGCTCACAGTTAACTCTGGTCCTTATAAGTTTGGAAAATCTATTAATTGTTATGGATTTGATTAGATAAAGTCAAAACATAGCATAGACAAAATAAAAAATCCTTGATATACTATTTATAGTATGCATGTTAAACTAGAAAAGATTTTAACTACAAATACTTTTAACTCTAACCCCTGGGCTCAAGTTTTGAGTTAAAAGATAGTAATGGTAACTAAGTTGGGAAACAAACCTGATTTGTAATAGTTTTCAATTTCCATGGTAATACATAGTGATAAATTCTCCTACCATGGACAATTTCAAGCCATTGATGCAGCTCAAATTGAATGATCCACTCTCATGATTGAATACATGAGGAGCCAGCATCTCATTGCTCTTGGGTTAGTGTGGTGGAGAGAAGAAAATAACAACAACAGAAAAAGGTACATGAAAGAACTGATGAAAGAAAGAACATGGGTTACTTTGGAAAGTTTGTAAGCTTATTTCAGTGAAAACATGAAAAAGTTGCCAACGGTTTAGGTGTTGGTTGCATTACTTCAGGCTTTACTATTTCACCATTTCTCCCTAATCTGAAAACTGCTGTTAATATCTTACTATTTCTAATATCTTGCTCTGACTGCTACCATATCATTATCTTGATAACTGCTTCTCAATGGTTCTGTATTAGCCCCTAGGGCTTATATTCAAAAGAGGAGCCACTATCAAGTGGTAAAGGGTCCTAATTAACATTACTGACTTCAGTTATCTTAATTACTGATGTTGCTTTTCACTTCATTTTTTGAATACTTAGGTAAGATTATACATATGTAATTTTAGTTCATATATATAATTAATTTAATTTAATAAGATATATAATTTTAATTGCTAAGAAAAATAATCTTACTCTAATTACCTAGATAGAATCCTTTCTTGATTTCCTTCTCCTTATTCCAGCTCTATACCTGAGAATAAATATAACCTACCATAGAACTTAAGATACTTTATTATAATGATCTATATATTTCTCAATATCATCCACTAGGTTCTCAAAAAATAAAGGCAATGTTCTATCACCAGGCAATAGTATGGTGGCTGGTATCATTTGTTGAATAAATGAAAGAATGAAATGTTATAATCCTTTTAACCCTCACAGTTTATACTACATTATATTAAAATGAATATGTACTCTTTGGCCTATAAGGAACAGATGTTTGTAGCCTTCGATTGGTTTCTCTCTTCTAAAGAACAGAAACCTAAGCCTCTTTGCTTTTTATGTGTTCAAGACATATTTGTTAATTTTAATAGGAGTTTTAGAAAAAAATAATTCAGCTAAATTTAGCACAGAAGAAAGCTAACTTTAGATGATTCTAGTATGCTTTATTTATTTGAATACTTCTCGCTTTCATTGAGATTAACAATACCAAGTTGACAATGAATGTTAAATACTTACCTGTCACATTTTTTCCTTGGTTGGTCAAACTAGCTGTTTGATTTGTTTCATCATTTGTTTTCATCACATGCAAAGATAGTGAAACTTTTCTTTTTTGTGGTTTAGTTGGATTTTGGGGCAAGAAAAAAAATGGTATGGAAGAAGTAATGGAAAATAGTCCAGACACAAGGAAACCAAGCCACCAAGCTCCAACCCAACGGGAATCCTTAGGAGTTATTCTGATAGTGCCTAGAAGAAATAGAAGATTCCAGTCAAAAATCATTTTGAAATACAGTAGGTTCTGAGAAATAATGATAATAATTGCAGTCCTTCACAGATGAAGAAAGTAAACTATATGTCATCAATTCCAAAACACTATTTTCTTATTTTGTTATCTCTGAAACTAGGTTGAGGACATCTTGCAATTGCTATTGTTCAGGAATTAGGCACAACATTTTTCTCACTGCCTGAGCTTGTGTGCACTTGTTGGCTTTTCAGAATTCATGACTGGACAACTGTCATTATTAGACATTTAACTCCTAACACCATTTAATAACTATTAATGGAAGAAATATGAATCCTCACTGTTGTCTGAAAATGTCTGTTGGAATCATCTGATGAGGTCAAGAAAGCATCAGCAATGAAATTTAAGCAGCTGGCAAAAAATACTTAGAGATAATAAAAGAACTTTCATCCCCACCATCCTAACTGTCCAGGAACCCGCACTTGCAGCTCTCCAGATAGCACAGAGGATATAAAAATATGCAAAATGAAAATCTGAGTTTAAGAGTAACCCAGAATTATCGGACTCTAAATGTCAGGGATCATTTAACCACTTTATTTCAACTATGTTTTTCCTTAAGGAATGTATAAGAGTAATGTGTAAATGCTACATCTCAAGTGTAAATGAGCTATTTTAGTAGGTAGAAAATATACAGTTTAATTAACAGCAATGCATCCATGAGATATCAGCAAGATACCAGAATAGGAAGCACTCGACACCTTTTTCTCCATAAACACACTGATTCAACAGTAACATTCAGACCAATTTCATTTTTGAGAAATACAGAAACTAACTGAGAGACATCTATACATAAGGAAAGTACAAAACCAGATACATAAAACCAGTAAGATAATTGGAGACTCTCTCTTGCCATTCCCCTCCTCAGTATTGTACCATACAATTGGAAAAAACTAGCAGTTTGAACTAGCATGTGGACACTTGACACAGCTCTTCCCTCTGGCTTAACACAGAGTGAATATGTGAGAGAAAAAGAAAAATGCAAAAAACATGTGGCAATTCCTCAAGGATCTAGCACCAGACATATTTTTTGACCTACCAATCCGTTTACTGAGTATATGCCTAAAGGAATATACACCATTCTATTATTAAAATACATGCACGTGTATATATATTGCAGCATTATTCCTATAGCAAAGACATGGAAGCAACCCAAATGCCCATCAATGATAGACTGGATAAAGAAATATAAACCATTCTAGTATAAAATACATGGATACGTATGATCACTGCAGCACTATTCATAATAGCAAAGACATAGAATCAACCTAAATGTCCATCAATGATAGACTGTATAAAGAAAATGTGGAACATATATACCATGGAACACTATGCAGCCATAAAAAGGAATAAGATCATGTCTTTTGCAGGGATATGGATGAAGCTGGAAGCCATCATCCTCAGCAAACTAATACAGGAACAGAAAACCAAACACTGCATGTTCTCAGTCATAAGTGAGAGCTGAACACCGAGAACACATAAACACAGGGAGGGGAACAACACACACAGCGGCCTGTCGTGGGGGCAGTGGGAGGGAGAGCATCAGGACAATTAACTAATGCATATGGTGCTTAATACCTAGGTGATAAGTTAATAGGTGCAGCAAACCACCATTATACATGTTTACCTATGTAACAAACTTGCATGTTCTACACATGTATCCTAGAACTTAAAGTAAAAAAAAAATAAATTTAATGTTCCCAGTTTATCCTTGGGGAGAGAAAGGGTTGGACTGCATATTCAACATTTCAACTTTTCCAGGTACTACCCAATGGATTAGCTTCTATCACATCTGTCCCAAAGTGCTGACAGGACCCAGCATATGCCAGACACCTGGGGACTACAGAGAATAAGAATGAGTCTGCATGTGGATATTTATCACAGATCCTGCCCACTAGCTTAGTGCAGAGTGAACAGGTAAAAACAAAAACAAAATCCCAGCTCTTCGCTTCTCATAAGGAAGCAAAGATTTGAACCACACATAACATTTCATCATTTCTGAGTTACACTTAAGGAAAGGTCTTTTGTCTTCCTTGTCTTTAGGTTAGGCATACACTTGGCCCCTGGGTGCTACAAAGAACACAAAAATGATGATTTAAACCAGCACACGGTCACTTGCCACAGCTCTTCCTACCCCTAGATCTAAGCAGAGTGATGAAGTAAGAAACCTCAGCTTCCAAATTCTCCATGGGAAGGGAAAGAGCTGGACAGCATGCCAAGTATTCAAAGTTCCTAAAAGTTGACTAAGGACATTTTTCTGTCTCAAATGTGTAAAGGTGCTGATTAGAACCTGCATATTCTAGATGCCTGGGGGATCCTAAGACAAAGATGGCACTTTGGACAAGCATAAAAGTTTGAGAAGTTCAAGAAGATATGGCTGGGCTGATTGATGGTTTTCTTCTATAATAAGGCCAGTCCATGAAGAGTTGGAAAGGTGGTTTTATTTTTTTCTAATGTAGAGATTGCAAAATATTGTTTCTAATACAAGCTCAGCCACAGTAAGATAGGGCACCAGGCAGAGTTTTGAGGCCCTAGCTCATGGACAACATTTGTAGGCACACTCTGGGCCAAAAAGGAATCCACTGTCTTGAAGGGAAGAACCCAGTCCTGGCAGCATTTATCATCGGCTGACTAAAGAGCCCTCAGGCCCTGAATAATCAGCAGCAGTACCAAGGTAATACACTGTGAGCCTTGAGCTCCAAGATATGCTGACGTCAGGTGTGACTGAGCACAGTCCCAGCTGTGGTGGCTATGGTGAAAGACTCCTTTTGTTTAAGAAAAGTGGAGGAATAATAAAGGGGACTTCACCTTGCACCTTAGGTACCAGCTCAGCTATGGTAGAGTAGAGCAGCAAGAAGTCTGTTGGTGTCCCTGAGTCCAGGACTAAACTATTGGACAGCACTTCTGTACCTGCCCTGGGCCAGAGGCAAGTCTAGAAATGCTGTCTAAAAGCCTAGTCTGGGACTCAGGGATCCACTGCCCTGAAGGATGAGTCTCTAAGACCTGGCAGCATTCATCATGAACTGACTGAAAAGCCCTAGCACTTTAACTGAAAGTGGGTGGTGGCCTGGCAAAATCCTCCATGGGCCTGTGGTGGTGATGGACTCAGGGAGAGGCTTCTCTTCCTGTGGAAATGGGAGAGAAGAGCAAGAAGAACTTTGTACTGTGGATTGGGTGCCAGCGTAGCCACAGTAAAATACAACATCTATTATAAGTAAATTGCTAAGGTTTTTTTGCTCCAATTCTTGGCTCCCAGACAGCATCTGTAGGCCAGCGTAAGGCCTAGGGGAACTCACTGCATTGAAGGGAAGGACACAAACCTGGCTAGCCTGGCCAATTACTGATTGTAGAGCCCTAGGGCTTGATTTAGCATAGATGGTACTCAGATAGTGGTTACAGCGGGCCTTGGGCAAGACCCAGTGTTGTGCTGGCTTCAGGTCTAACTCAGTACAGTCACAGTGGCGGGGGCCACAGGGATGCTTGCATCACTGGATCCCCAGTTTCAGGCAGCTCAGCATAGAAAGAGGGAGACTACATTTGCTTGGAGAAAGTAGGGGAAGAGAACAAGAGTCTCTGGCTGACAATACAGAGGATTCTGTCATATACTTTCCAAGGCCACTATAGCAGTACCTCTACAAGACTATAAAAACCACAGTATTATTGAGATTGTGGCCAAAGTCCTTTCATATACCTAGAAAGCCTACTAAAGAAGGATGGGTAAAAACAAACACAGACTACAGACTACAATAAATACCTAAGTCATCTATGTCCAGACACTGATAAATAAAATAAGTGCTAAGATTAGCCAGGAAAATATAACCTCACCAAACAAATTAAGTAAGGCACCAGGGAACAATCCTGGTGAAACAGACATATGTGACCTTTCAAACAGAGAATGCAACATAACTGTTCTGAGGAAACTCAAAGAAATTCAAGATAACACAGAGAAGGAATTCAGAAACTATCAGATAATTTAACAAAGGGACTGAAATAATTAACACCAATACTACTCAAACCATTCCAAAAACCAGAAGAGGAGGAAATACTTCTAAATTCATTCTATGAGGCCAATATTACCTTGATACCAAAACCAGACAAGCACACATCAAAAAAGAAAACCACAGGCCGATGCCTCTGATGAATATTGATGCAAATATCCTCAACAAAATAGGGGTAAACTGAATTCAACAATAAATTAGAATGATTATTCATCATGATTTATCCTGGGATGCAAGGATGGCTCAACATATGTAAATCAATAAGTCTGATATATCATATCAACAGAATGAAAGGCAAAAATCATATTATCATTTCAATTGATGCTAAAAAAGCACTTGATAAAATTCAACATCCCTTCATAATAAAATCCCTCAAAAATCTGGGGATAGAAGAAACATACCTACCCAAATATATCTGCAGATTCTAATTCATACGAAGCCAATAAATGACCTCGAATAGCCAAAGCAACCTTAAGAAAGAACAAAAATGATGGCTCACACTTCCCGATTACAAATATATTTCTACACTTAAGTAATTAATACAGTACAGTACTGATATAAAGATAAGTCTATAGACCAATTGGATGGAGTACAGAGCCCAGAGAAATGTGTGTGTATACAGTCATCTGATCTTTGACAAGAGGCCATAATAGTGAAATGACCATTTCTCCAACAAATGGTGTTGAGAAAACTGGATGTTCACATATCACAGAATGAAGTTATACCCTTACCTTACATATACTGAAAAAATAAACTCAGACTGTGTTGACAACTAAAATTTAAAACTAGAAACTGTAAAATTCTTAGAATAAAACTTCGAGAAAGAGTTTCATTATATTTATCTTGACAATAATTACAGGATATACCACCAAAAGCACAGGCAATAAAAGCAAAATTAGACAAACCAAACTCATCAAACTAAAAAGCTTCTGCCCAGCAAACAAAACAAT